TTCCTTGGTATTAGCTTGACTGTAGTCATTCCCATATTTTCACCACTATAAAAGGACATAAACTATATTAATAACACTCCTAACGGCGAAAATTATATTATATAACACTCTTAATGGTGTAAATTATATTATATAACACTCCTAACGACGTCAATTATATAACACTCTTAACTGCGTAAATTATATTATATAACACTCTTAACGGCGCAAATTATATTATATAGCACTTCTAACGACGTAAATTATATTATATAACACTCTTAACTGTGTACTTCCTCCTCTTCCGCTTTTTTATTTTTTCAGTTAATTTCTTCTCATTCTTCTGTTGTAATTCCTTCTCCTTAAAAATATATCCCAACCCGTTTCAAATTTGAGGATATCAATTCCAGCATTTAAATATACAGAGAATACGTATACCATTTTCTCAAACGATAATTAACATCAAATTCTGAAACTGAAACATTGGAGAAATGCAGTGCATTTTTATTTCTGGCGGTACGCACTACGGGTACTTTTTCCAGCATCATTTTTTTTTCAGCGCTATTTTAATAAACACTTTATGTATTGAATACAGGCACCTCTTTAAGACATTCTGTGTTTTGAATACCGGCACCTCTTTAAGACATTCTGTGTTTTGAATACCGGCACCTCTTTAAGACATTCTGTGTTTTGAATACCGGCACCTCTTTAAGACATTCTGTGTTTTGAATACCGGCACCTCTTTAAGACATTCTGTGTTTTGAATACCAGCACCTCTTTAAGACATTCTGTGTTTTGAATACCAGCACCTCTTTAAGACATTCTGTGTTTTGAATACCGGCACCTCTTTAAGACATTCTGTGTTTTGAATACCGGCACCTCTTTAAGACATTCGGTGTTTTGAATACCAGCACCTCTTTAAGACATTCTGTGTTTTGAATACCGGCACCTCTTTAAGACATTCTGTGTTTTGAATACCGGCACCTCTTTAAGACATACTGTGTTTTGAATACCGGCACCTCTTTAAGACATTCTGTGTTTTGAATACCGACACCTCTTTAAGACATTCTGTGTTTTGAATACCAGCACCTCTTTAAGACATTCTGTGTTTTGAATACCGGCACCTCTTTAAGACATTCTGTGTTTTGAATACCGGCACCTCTTTAAGACACTGAGTTTTAAATACCGGCACCTCTTTAAGACATTCTGTGTTTTGAATACCGGCACCTCTTTAAGACACTGAATTTTAAATACCGGCACCTCTTTTAGACACTGAGTTTTAAATACCGGCACCTCTTTAAGACACTGAGTTTTAAATACCGCACCTCTTTAAGACATTCTGTGTTTTGAATACCGGCACCTCGTTAAACCACTGAGTTTTAAATACCGGCACCTCTTTAAGACACTGAGTTTTAAATACCGGCATCTCTTTAAGACACTGAGTTTTAAATACCGGCACCTCTTTAAGACACTGAGTTTTAAATACCGGCACCTCTTTAAGACACTAAGTTTTAAATACCAGCACCTCTTTAAGACACTGAGTTTTAAATACAGGCACTTCTTTGAGACACTCTGTTTTGAATACCGGCACCTCTTTAAGATACTCTGTGTTGAGTACCAGCACCTCTTTAGACACTCTGTGCTGATTATCCACACCTCTTTAAGAGACTGTGTTAGTACCGGCACCTCTTTAAGACACTGTGTTGTGTAGCGTCGCCTGTTTTTCTAGAAAGAAAAACGCCCTGACTTTTTGTAATTTTAGTTTTCGCTATATATATATATATATATATATATATATATATATATATATATATATATATATATATATATATATATAGTCTGAGAGACGAGGAGACAACGGTTTGGATAAAATATATATATATATGTATATATATATCATATGTCATGCGTGTCGCCACTTCGAAAACATTGTTTAAATTATAAAAACAGGGGGGGGGGGGGGGGGGGGGTGGGTAGATGCATCGTTTTACTATGCATAGAAGTTATCTTTTAAAGTAAATGTTTTTATGCATTTAATATTTTTTAAAATTTAGTATTATATTTACTTACCATTCAGTGATTATTATTATTATTATTATTATTATTATTATTATTATTATTATTAATGTTCTGACTGGCAAATAAATATAAAAGTATACTTGAAATAATATGAAACGAATAAACGAATACTTTAAAAAAAATTATTTGCACGGTTAAATGGGTTCTCTAGGTACATTAAAAAAAAATAATATGGTGGTGGGGGGGGGGGGGGCTGAACTAAACCTAAGATAATTAGAAGTCTCAGTTGGCCTGAGCTCCTTAATTCCGGCGCCTGTGTTATATGTTGTTTAGGAGCGCCGTAACCTGTGAGGTTAGGGAATTTTTAGCCTTAACTTGCCTCATTTCCCCTGGGAAATGTTGCGGCCCCTCTAACAATGTAAAGAAGTTCTCTCTGTAAGTATCTGATAATAAATTTGAGATCATTGAAATAGATAGTTATATTTAATTGTCTTATAGCATCATAGACGCTGAGACTTGGGGGCTGGGGCATCTTGAATCCCCCCCCCCTCCCCTCCCCCAATAATGTTCTTTTGGGAGAGGTCCTCCGATCCTCAGTATAAGTTTTTCAGGGCATAAGCACCTACCCATTAGAAAATACGAAACTATTTACAGAGGTTCTCAGTTTTATATTTATACATTTTATAGTATTTCAGTATATTATTATATTTACTCAAGTCAGGGAACAAGACAAAAGTCCATAAGTGAAGAAACCACTAGAACTTTCTGCCGGAGTTTACAGTCAGTGAATCATAGGAAGAAGAAGCAGAGTTGAAATTGTCTTCGCTTTAATTATTGCCTCATTTTTTGTTCTCTCTCTCTAATTTATCATCGTCGTCATCCTCATGTGGGATGCAATTTTTAGTTATTTTGAAGCCCCATCCTTGCTTTTGCCGGGGGCCTTAAATATAACAGGGCCTAACGGCTGAAAGGGGTTTTCGAGACCTCTCCAAGGGTGATCCTCATCCGTATGATGGCATTTTGTGTCACCGGGTGTTTATCGCTCATGTGATGCCCTGGTGGGGTACAACTTACCTACCGAACTCTCTCTCTCTCTCTCTCTCTCTCTCTCTCTCTCTCTCTCTCTCTCTCTCTCTCTCTCTCTCTCTCTCTCTCTCTCTCTCTCTCTATTTGCTTATCTTTTCTTCCTTCAGTTACATCAGTGAAATGATCAGGGATGGAAGGGTGAGGATTTTCTGTCTACCTTTTCTAATAATCTGTGTAAGTTGGGTAACATTTTGTTTTAATGTCTCGAAGGACCAATTTTAATACTGTTGCTAAACCTGTTACGTGTTTGTCCTCTAACTGTGTGTCCGTTTTATTTCTTACGCAAAGAAACTTGCTGCAGCTGGTACCACCAACAAAATCCACAATGGCATTTGGGTGGGGAAAAAAAACTTGCTGCCCAAAAGTGATTATTTAAAAAACTAAACAATTGAACAATATAAAGAGAACCTTGACCCAGTAGTGTCGACAGAGTTCACACTCGGTGAAAAAAAGGGGGCGGTAATAAATATTGTGTAAGCAAAACGGGTGTTTAGTGCTCAGTGAGCTTTAGAGCGCAATAAAACAACAACAATGACAACAACAGCAACAACAATACGGTGACGTTAAGTAACTAAATATAATATTACATTTGAAAAAATTTGATACGTAAACATAAAAACTTTAAAACAGAATTTGTATATATCTTTTTTAAAAGGGGTGGGGGGGGGGGGGGAGTTCTTAGCCTCCTTACACAAATTGCTGGGATGCTCACCTCCCTCAGGTGGTCTAAATTGCCAAGTTATAGAATCACTGCTTTGAATCGGGTGGGGTGAGTCTCAGCGTGGAAATTGCCTTTCATAAATCATACTGCTGGAGACAAGGCTAAATGATTACTAAGAATATATTAAAGCAGGGCCACATTGCTCGTGAGGTCCCCGGCAGGGGCGCAGACACACATTAAACTTTGGGGTGGATTCTCCTGGGTAGCTAGCTTACTTAGCGCTTTTACATACTTTTAAGGAAAGAGGGATGGGTGCTCAGTGACAAAGAGTTGAGTTGAGTCAAGAACTGACATCATAACACTCCGGGGAATTCCCAATCATGCTCTGTTCTCATCTTCAGCAGCCAGCGCAGAGTTCCAATACTGATGGTACCAGTCATCTGGTTAAATGTCCGTCTTGCCTTCCCTTCTAAGTGCAGTGAACTGGCCAGACCCTCTGGTTACACCCAGGTGTTTCATTCTCTCCAGGCCATAATAATCTCCTTTCTCTACTGATTCCATTGCTTGTTCCCAAAGGGCATTGACCACATCTGCCTTGTCATGCACCAATTTACCACCCAGTGGTGCGGATCTAGCCAATCTGTCTGCCTGTTCATTATCAACCCCGCCGGCATGGCGTGGAGAAAAGATCAAAAGTATGCTCACTACCCGTGACCCTTCCAGTGAAGCTTGCCACTCTGCTCGAAGCATCTACGTCTTCACCTTTTTCAGCATGTTTTCAGAGTCTGTTAGAATTACGACAAAGAGAAACAAAGTACAAGAAGAAAAAAGAAGAAGAGGAGGAGGAGGATGAAGAAAAAGAAGCGGACATGAAGAGGAAGAAGAAAAGGACATGGAGAAGAAGAAAAGGATGTGATGAAAAGAAGAAGAATCAGGCTTGAAGAGGAAAATAGATAATGAAAATCAAGAAGAAGAAGGGGGAAAAGAAGAAGGAGAAAAGGAAGAAGAAGAAGGAGAAAAAGAAGAAGGAGAAAAAGAAGAAGAAGAAGAAGAAGTACTGTAACTTACGCAGACAGAAAAACTATTTTAAAAAACTATTTTATCTTTCCCTCCCCAGTTGCCCCATTTCTACACTTCCTGTACAAATCTTTGGCGCATGCGCATCCACGATGTGTAAGGGCGAGGTCTAGTTGTCTGCTTCCGTCGACCCCGAGAGACTCCTCCGCAAAATCTGTTGTTGCTGTCCAACTTAACCATGTCTGCTAACGAAGCTGGTGAAGATTCTGACTCCGCGATTAGATTTGAATTGTACATCAAGGTATGATTGTTTCTTCATCTTTATAACTTTTTTTCACCTTTATATTTGAATTGTTCACATTTACGGCAAATGTTGTTACATATGTTAGTATAAGTTGACCTGTTTGAGTTTCGGAAGCAGAGACGGTTTTGGTTGGTTGGTAAATCATAAACGAATGGCTCTGCGGGGAACTGAAAATGGTTTTGTTAGTGAATTATTAATTAAATTACAGTCATAGGCAGAATCGGAAAGGCGGGAATTATTGTCGTTTACGCTGTTATGAAGACTTGCTGTTTGTGAATCAGCCAATCTACATAATGTATGGGAGTCGTATTTTATGGCCCTGAATGATGACTAATTAGAGACAAGTAGAATGGACATGGGTAAGTTAAGTTCAGTGAGGGAGGGGCGGCTTTGTCCTTGTCTTAACTTGACGTCACCGTCTGCTGACTTTACATGTTACAGGTGTAGTGTTTCGTTGCGTCTTATAACTTATCAGCTAAATACTGTGTGTGTCTTTGACATGTAGTGTAGATAGATAGCTGGAAAGCAACGACAGGAATCTTTTTAGGGAAGTCACCTTTCTCCTTTAACATAACATTTTTTCTTGCTGCAGATATATTGATATATAGACCAGTGTTCATATTAATCTTTGCATCCTTCCAGCGAGTCACACCCTTGAAAGGAAAACCAGTGGTAGTAAAATGTTTATATAAGGAAAGGGCATCATTACCTATATTATATATATATATATATAGTGATCATAGTATTATTAGTATGGTAATAATATTATTGAGAATAAACTTGATGTTGATAAAACATTTGAATCAAGTGATGACACTAATTCTATTGATACTGATGCAGGATCTAGTGTTAGTAGTAATAGTGGGGAATCAGATGGGAACGCTGTTGTGTTCAGACCACAGGCCAACCATGGCTCAGCGTATATCCACCCAAAGATGTTGACACTCCGGCACATACATTTCTTGTGCTGACTGATGGTCAAAAACACATGTCACCTAAAGATATTATTATATGTCAAAAAACTAAAGATATTATAGCTGTTTCATATATATTGGATGCATGTTACCAGTTCTATTTTTCCAGTCATCGCTTGATTTTTTAGTGAAATTCCAGTCGTCTTTACTTTCCAGAGAATTTCCAAAGTTCAGTTTTTAACATGATTAACCTGGAAGTTCAGGGATTTGAACCCTTGACATCAGTTCAGCTTATCACTCAGTCAGTGCATTGCCAACCAAGTCAATGCATTATTGCCCACTAGATGTTGCCTGGTATCAGTTACTGGGGCTAGATCGTATGCCTCATGGTATAGAAATGAGTCCTCTACTTATAACTGTAGGATTGACTTTAGCTGGAAGCAATGGATTATCAGATCTCTTCACTTCAAGCATATATATATGTATATATAAATTTTTTTCAATTAATTGATAACTCAGTACTCTATTCAAATGATGAACAGGCCTCAGCAATTGACAAGGAAACCAAGGGATCATGTCCAATCTGCCAGCAGTTCTTCATGATGACCTGTCTTCTTGGAGAGAACCAGGAGGACATAGATTTCAAGGTGTTCACTGTCCAGGCAGACTGTCCACCCAAGAACTTTGCCTCAGGTTGGAGCAAGAAGTACCCAGTGATCATGGTCAACTCCGGCAAAAGCAAGACTGGCCAGGACTTGAGCGGCATGATGTATGACACATTTGAGGAGCTGGAACAGTTCTTTGAGAGCATCAACAGAGAGTGTCCAGAGCTGAAAAGGAAGAATGCTCCAAACATAGAAGCCATGAAGGTGGTGGAGAATATCTACAAGGTATGTGTATCTTGTGTGTCGCTTTTGTCTTGTAATTTTTTAGTTTACTCTTATGTAGTTGTCTGGATGGACACATATCATCTAGAGCAGCATTTCTCAAACTTTTCTTTCACCATGGCACCTGTGTGAGACAACAATATTTTTACGACCCACCTACCCCGGAAGCTGTTTGAATACTTAGGAAAAGAAGAAAAACAGTGCAAATGTAATGTTCACTTGTCTTTATTGCGATGAGTGGAACTGTTTGGATGAATTTTTCATAATTTCCTTTATGTTTATGGTAAGTTAAGTTAATTGTACCCTCAAATCACTTGAAGGCTACTGCTGTATCTGTTACAGCCTCCATGGTGGACTTCAAAGGTAGAACAGGCATGGAAGTTAAGAAAGCTTCATTAAAGCGATTAAAGTAGGTGAAAGACATCCCTTAGCACACATGAAGGATTTGAGTGCGCGGAAAGAGATAAGAAATATAGGATAGAGTTTTTCAAGCGTTGTGCAGCAGAGACTAAAAAAGAAAAATGGGAACATTTTATTAATAAAATTGGGGGCGATAAGACTTTGGGGAAATTTCGGAAGTTACATAGACAGATACTCAGGAAAGATCGGCCCGCTTAGTAGGAACAATTCGTGGAGACAATGGCTTGCTATTGAAAACAGACAAAGAGAAGGGTGAGGCATTCCTGAAGAGGTCATTTCACAGATAGACCACAATGATGAAGACCAGAGATGCAGTTAGAGAAGATCTATCAGCCGCCATAAAGAATAAACATTATGAAGACATCATACAAAGGGAAGATGTGAAACATGTTCTGAAAAGGGTGAAAGACACTGCATCTGGCCTGACAGGGTCAGATATTCCCATTTGAGGGACATGAGTGATGCCGACCTATTGGAGATGACTGCCTGTTTCATCCAGAGCATTAGGACAGCTTCAGTTCCACAAGAGTGGATGCACAGCTACCTGATTCCACTTCCTAAACCTGGCAAGGATCATTCAACACTCAGGGGCTTTGAGATCATAACCTTACAAAACACTTTTGACAAAGTGCTGGAGAAGATAGTGGCGGGTAAGCTTCAAGAATTTTAGGAACAGAGAAAGCTCCTTCCAGGAGGTTTGGAAAGTTACCGTCCAGGGTAGGATACATGGTCAGATGCAGCCACTTTTACCAATGATGCCCTCAGAGGTTTCCAGAACAGGCTGGAAACGGTGGTAGTGGCACTTGATTTAGAAGATGCTTGCAATAGAGTCAGATTTAATATCTTGATGACAGCGCATAAAGAGAAGGGAGTCTGTTAATGTTTGGTGAAATGGATAGCAGCTGCTTTGTACTCTTGCCATGTAGCTCTCCGTTCGGGTTCATGGGACTCCAAACCACATATTATAGCCATGGGACTACTATAGGGATCTGCAGTTTCACCTGTTCTGTTCAGTGTGTTTACGAACAAGGTTGCGGAACTGGAAATACTGAAGTTGGTAGAATACTGACATTCGCAGATGAAATTCTCGTATATAGGCAAGGGAGAGATCAGAATCATATTGCTCAAGAGTTACAGGTCAAGGTAGATAAGGTCATCGACTGGTGTACTGAGATGAGTGCTGTAATCAACCCAGAAAAGGCAACCACTGTGGTGTTCTTTGGATAACAGGAGCTGACGTTCCAGGCCTCAAAATAAATGCCAGGCACATCAAAAGAGACAGCAGACTGTGGTACCTGGGATCCACCTTTGACAGAAGCTTTTAAGGATCACATAGAGGTGGTTGTGTCGAAGGCCCAAAAAGGTTATGGCAGCAATGGACATGTTCACATTATAACAGCACTTAATCATCTCAGTGATTGATTATGGATTGGGTTTGCTCACTGTCTCGATGAGTTAGCTAGAGAAACTGGAGTGCATACAGAATGAAGCTATGCGGGTGATCATGGGATGTACAAGAGACATCCCGATTGTGTGCATGCGATACATCCTTGCATTGCCGACTATTGCAGATAGGCTATAGGTGCTGCAGGCTAAGTCATACTTCAGAGTAGCTGCAGATAAAGAGCACCCTCTGTATGAAGCTTTGGATGCAGTTAAGCGTCAAGGCTAAAAGGAAAAATCATGAATGGCTCAATCAGAAGACAAAATAAGACAAGTATGCATGCTATAGAACATTGGGCGAGGCGAGGAGTGGGTCAGAGTACCAGAGAAAATAATCTGACCTATGTAGGGTCATGATCACTTTAGGCTTGGAGTGCAGAGAGTGACCAGCGGGAGCTGCTGAAGTGGAAGTCCCAACAGTTGATTTATGACAATTCTCGTTCTGATGGTCTGATTATCCACACAAATGGTTCTGTATTGAGAGGTAAGAGAAGTGCCTTGGGTTTGATATGGAAAATCTTTAGTGCAGGCCAGCCTAGCATACGACACCACAACATCTAGCATGAGAATGGAGGTGGAGGCAGTCACTGCGGCTTGCTGGTGGCTAGAGAACAATATACATGCACATGTCGTAATTGTAACGGACTCTGATAGCATGCTGAAAAGGTGAAGACAGGAATGCTTCGAGCAGAGTATCACGCTTCACTTGCAAGATCAAGGGTAGTGAGCATGCTTTTGATCTTTTCTCCATGCATGACGGCGAATGGGGAATGGGGGAATGAACACGCAGACTGGCTGGATCTGCACCGCAGGGTAGTGAATTGATGCATGACAAGGCAGCTGTGGTCAGAGCCCTTTGGGAGCAAATAACGAAGTCAGAAGAAAAACTAGATTATTATGGGCTGGAGAGAATGATGCAGTTGGGTGTAACCAGAGGGTTTGGCTGGCACACTACGCTCAGAGGAAAGGCAAGACGGACATACAACCAGACTACGACTGGCATCATTAGTATTGGAACTCTGAGCTGGCTGCTAAGGATGGGGGCGGAGCGCATATGGGAATACCCCAAGTGCTGTGATGTCAGTTTTAACTCAACTCCTGTATCTGTTTTTCAATGTAAGCGTACGTTAAGAATACACTGCAGCCTTGCCAGTTGCATTGTTTTCTGAATACACTGCATCTAAATTCTTCTTGGCTTCCTTCGTGTTATTTCTGTTTTAAACTGCTGACTTAGCTGATCTCAAGCAGATTTTGAGAAATTCTTGATTATTGCCACGGCACCCCTGGCATCGCTCACGGCACCCAGTTTGAGGGCCGCTGATTTAGGTCTTTGTGGTTGTGTTTAGACTTCCTTCAGAAAGTGTACCTGAGTAGTTTACACCTGACTCTTCTGTGAATAAATAAGCATGGAAAATTAGACATAGAAGGAATGAGATAACTAGTTTTAGGACTGTTTTCCACAGAAGCCCTGGTCCCAGCGGTAAAAGCTGCGAAAGCCATGTTGACGTCAAATGTTCTTGTAGCCTCAGTAATAGAGGTCACCTGATAATATTTCTTTGTAGGCCTTAGGGGCGACTATCAATTGCTCTTCAAAGACTAAAACAACTGAATAAATTATGGAATTGTACAGATAGAATTACAAAGGTCAGATTTTTAAGAGCATGCATCTTTCCCATTGCAACATACGCCTGTGAGACCTGGACACTTACTAAACAAGCGGAACAGTGCATAAATGCATTTGAAAATAAATGTTACAGACAGGTTCTAAGAATATCTTGGGTAAAGAAAAGAACAAATGCATTCATACTTCAAGAGCTGAATATTGAAGAGGGTTGGCTAGTAAAGACAATAAAACAAAGAAAATTGAAATATTTTGGTCACTTGAAACGTCATGGAAGTCTAGAGAGAACAACAATGGAGGGGTATATGCCTGGGAAGAGAGGAAGAGGAAGGCCAAGGAGAAGATGGGTGCAGGATGTGGCAGATGATCTCCAGATGGGTGTATCAGACGCAGGACATCTTGCTCAGGATAGGAAGGTTTTCCGGAGGGTTGTTATGGCTGCGAGGTTCCGCGAGGGACATGCTACTGAATGAATGAGGCCTTAGGGAAGGTGTTCTATTTAGTGCTTCACTCTCTGTCTTTAATAATTATTCCCTTTATAAATTTTTATTTTGGAGAAAAGGGGGGGGGGGGGCTATTTAAATGTAGAAAAATACTTTTAAAAAAAAATTTGTCACCTGTGTAAAATAGTTTTTTTAAGGAGCTTTTTAGGAATTCCCTTTGTTTTTATAGTTTCAGGGGTGAAAATGTTAAAGCTGTTACATGTTATATATGAAATTCTTATCTCACTATTACTGGCAAAATCTAAGTAGTTTTACATAATTTAGAAATCATTGCATGGGCCTGTCTGTCTACTTCATTTTCAGCTGTCATTGTGAGTCCTTTCTGATATTGTCATTGTGGGTCCTTTCTGATATTGTCATTGTGGGTCCTTTCTGATATTGTCATTGTGGGTCCTTTCTGATATTGTCATTGTGGGTCCTTTCTGATATTGTCTTTGTGGGTCCTTTCTGATATTGTCTTTGTTGGTCTCTTGATATCTTTCTTTATCACCTAATTGTTACTGTTTTTTTTTTAAATTCTTACTGAAACACAGTTTTTTTAAATATACAATCAGTGGCGTCTTGCTGGCACACTGAGCATTCATTGTTTGATTCTCAGTGTTTGCTTTGTAAAGTTTGCGGTGAACAGATTTGGTGTGTTTCAGTCATGGACACCTTTCTCTTACAAGGACTCTGTAGATATTTGTCATGACCATGCCGTGTTGAGAGGCAATGAGCAAGCAAGTCTGTGTGCTTTAAAATTAAAAGCACTAATAATTGCTGGTATGATAGTTGGGTGCATATCCTTTAGTTGGCAATCCTTCTCAACAAATGGCTCCTGATAGCATTGTCTATCCCCATGTTTAGCAACCAGCACCATTGTTGGCACTTATATTCTATTTCTATCCTGCTTCTCCTCTGAGTTTTGGGCAGATACCCTGGGTACTCCCATCTGTCAGTCTCTTCAGAACATGATGCATTATTTAACTCTTCCCTATTGTTAAGGTGTTGCCAAAACATCTTGACTTACTAAAATT